CGTGCTACTGTTGTATCTCTTGAGCTCGCGCCTAAGTTCCAGTTCGCGTTCAGGCTCTTCAGCTCGCGTCCCAGGTTCCTTGCTTGTTCGAGCTTTCGCGGTCTTCCTTCAGTTTTCTTCCCGGGTGAGTGCTTTCGGAATCCCACTTTATTCTCTGATGTCTAGTTCGGAGGGTTCGGGCTGTTCTAGCGGGTCTGATGTAGGTTCTACCAATCGGTTTGCGTCCCCTGGTAGTTCAAGCGAGCCCGATGTAGGTCCTGAGGAATGGGTTGAACCTACGGGCCGAGGTGCTTCGGGTAGGTCGGCGTCCACTTCCCGTCGTGGCTGGGTTATAGACCAGTTCGGTCCTTCGACTATGACGCCTGAGGGACTTCAATCCCTCATACACTACTACAACTTGCCCGGGGAGCATGCTTACTTCATCCCTACGGGTAGCTTCCCTTGGGAACACGGTCCTGATGAGATCATTATTTTCCGGGAACAGCTCACCGCGGGGCTGCGGCTGCCCTTTCACCCTCTTCTCGTCGAGGTTCTAAACCACTTCGGTGTGACGGTCGGCCAGCTTCACCCGAACTCCATWAGGAACTTAGTGGGGACGATCTCTTTATTTTGTGACGAGAACTTCCCTTTGGACCTGGAGATTTTCTCCTCCATTTTAATGCTGAAGCAAGTGGGTCCCCTTCCTGGGCGTAGGCGGGCATACTACCTGTCCCCTCGTCCGGGCTTCAAGCTCTTACACGGACTCCTTAATAAGGTCCCGGCGTGGAAGCGAGACTATTTCGGGGTGCGAAGTGCGCTGGGGTGGCCGTTTCAGACCGGCTGGGCGATGGCCGCTCCCAACTCCGGCGTCACACTTGATAAGGAGACGGCGAAGGGCCTCCGGCAATGGGCGCGGCTTGGGCTAGAGTGTCAACGGTACCTGACGGAGGCCAAGCTTATTGCTGCGGGCCTGACTTCGGGTAGGTTCTTTCCCTAGCGATCCTGTCTTGCTCTTCTTTTACGTCTTACTGATGCCGAACTCCTTTTCGCAGGCACGATGGACTCTCGAGGGACCTGAGGTGGGCACTTGTTCCAAGGCATGAAGAGGAGAAAATGGGTGGCTAAGCGAGCTCGCGCCGAACCGTCCCAGGGTGCGGAGCCCGAGGTGCCGGACTATCCGGCNNNCTTCAGGAGCGTGCTGTCGCCTGTTCATGCTCTTCAACGGAGTAAGGAAGCGATGTTTCCCGAGGAAGTTGCGGCGTGGACCGAGCTCCCTCTGCACCAAGTGGCCTTCCGTGCCGTTACTCACGCTATGGTGGTAAGTGTTCCCTTCTTTAGAGTTCTTCAGCTTTTATTCTATTCGTTCCTTTGATAGGTGAACTCTTCTATTCACGCCTTAGCGAACCAGGTGGAGAGATACTCGAGGCAGGCGCGAGCTGCCGAGGAGGCTGCTCGTGCTGCCAAGACTGCTGCTCGCCTCGCGCGGTCTAGGCAGGTGAGGTCTCAGAGAGATGCTGAGGCCATGGGAGTGGCGGTGAAAAATATGGCAGAGTTGAAGCTGGACCTGCAGCACCAGTTCGAGTATCTCCAGGAGGATATCAGGGAGAGGACTCGGATCTTCTCTCAAGGCATCGAAGACGCGAAGAAGAAAGCTGTCAGCGATTACATTGCTTCGCCGGATTTCGATGATCTGATGGTAGAC